TTTATTGAAGATTATTACTGTGATCAGTCCATGAGGAAGAGCTGAAGACGATTTGTTAGAATAAGCAAAACTTCTAATTTAAAAAGAAATAAATAATCCAATCAAAGTTACAACAAATGTATCATTTTTCCTCATACTCGCTGTTTCGTAATTTTATTGCTATCTACCATTTTGATCTGTATTCTCTGTTTTTTGTGCTCCTTCTGCCGGCAGAAATATTTTTCTTACGACAGTGGTTAGTGGAGACCAAAAATGCGTAGTCATGGATTAGTTCCTAAAGAATAAGTTAACTTACCCTATATGTATAGACACTACGTGAGACAACATAACTATAATATTAAGTCAGAAATCTTGTGTTTGGACGCTGAACAAGACAACACGTCGGATATGACAATTTCAGATTGTCCTATTAAGTCGGAAATGTCGTTTAATACTAACGGTGCAAGTGTTCGTCATTCTTGTGACATTTAGTTACTCTCGCGGTGCAGTACGAGTTCAGAGAACATGCTATACATAATTAGTTTGTCCTTGTCCAGAAGTAATGGAGGTTATGCATGCTACGTTCCTGTCTCTATAAATAATAAATAGGTGATAATTAAATCCTATCCTTGTGCACTACCAGTTGAAGCTGTACGTGCTTTTTTGTTGCTATTCTTGGAGGTTCTTATTATTTTCCTGTGTGTTAAATATAGTTTTTGAAGTGTTCGAGCCTATCGGTTTTTGTTGTTTTTTTTTTTCGTAGTGCGGATCATGGTAAAGGAATGGGACACAAGTGATAACTATACATTAGTGTCAAATGACATACACAGTGTGGAATTTGTATCGATACAAAGTTCTTAAACCATTAAAACATCAGTGAAGTTTAATTAGTTTTAAACCTTCTTTCAGACTAAGAAGAAAAAACGAATTTCTCAAAGATCAGTCCATGAGGAAGAGCTGAAGATCACAGTAATAATCCAGTGTTAATCTTTAAACAGTGAATTGTTATCCTTTATTATTTACGGTTAAAGCTGGCGAAGCATTAGAAACCAATAGATCTAAAACTTGCGATAAAAATCACAAACTACAGGTGTTTTTTTTTGTTTTTCACATTCCTCATAATTTGATTATCTTGGACTCAAAATCAGTAATTTTCAGATCTATCTTTTATACCACACTATTCACTGCACTCTTCTTGCAATATAAGAATTCGTGAGTTGAGCCTGAAGATGAGAGACAAAATGATTCTATGAAACGCTATCCACAAATGCAGTGTTAATGCTATACAAGCTAGAGAGAAATAGGCTTAACTTTGTGATAAAAATCACGCAAGTAGCAAGTTTTTATCCCAGTTAAAAAGAATGTGTGGAGGAACAGTTTACGTTATTTGGTCACAAGCTTTATTATTATGTTTACTTTTATTATTATAGTTGATTTTCCTTCTCATCTGCTGGAAGAGATAGAGGATGAAATGTGCTCTATATTATAATAGCAAAGATGTGAACGATTTCCGGGTATATTGTACCCACAGTGTTACTTGGCATGGATTTTTCACGAACACACGTGTAAATATCGTTACGTATGTTTCTTGATTTCTTTACATTACTAAGCATGTTAGAACTGAACAATGGAGGTACTGACAGTCAGCGGGCGCGAATAAGGAAGAAGAAAAGGGGGGTGGAGGTGGGAGTGTAAAGATCAAGAGACATCTTGTAACCCTAACAATAATACAGTGGTCGTGAGCACGATGAAGTAATACTACGCCCACAACTCACCCTCCACCCCCAGGGACAGGAAAGTGTTCAGTGGATACGTTTGAACCAGTTAATAAACCACGACGTTATTTGCCCACGGACATAGTCTGTATTCACTCAGAAAAAAAAGAGCGTGGTTTCCGCTAGGTGTGTTGTCAGTTTAAGATTGCAGGGGCGAAAAGTTTGGTCTTCAAGTTAAAGCTGGTGTATCAACAGAATATTATATAATGCAGTCAGTTAAGGTGGTTCCTCTAACCAATAGAGAAATATAAGAATATATCAGTGAATCAAACGTTACCAGCTAAAAGTGGGTACATTCTCAGTGCACTGTACAAAAGATCGTAATACTCAAGTCAGGATAAAACAATACAAATTATAAAATAATCTCCCCTCTTATTTCATGTAAATCAGACACTGATGGTCCGTCATCTCATTTGAAATGTTACTCATTAAATCAGACGTTGATAGTCCGTAATCTGATCTGAAATGTTACTCATTAAATCAGGACGTGGATGGTCAGTCATCTGATCTGAAATGTTACTCATTAAATCAG